TGCCTTAACTCATCTAATTCTCCACGAATACTGTGAAGTTAATAAATAAATTTTAATTACTCCCATTTCACAAACTAAAAACAAAACAAAACAAAAAAACAAAAGGTAAATGAGTTTATGATTTTCTAAGTTTATGCGGCTAAACAGCTCCAGAGAGGAAGCCCTCACCCACGTTTTCTCCTAACTCAGTGTTCTTTCTCCTACATCACTGTACTTTTTAAATAAGACACACATCAGAAATGAGAGACTATGCATACAGGTAGCTCAGTGAGTGTTAGCACAGAAAAGCGGGGTTCCTTAAGGAAGGATTCAAGGAGTGGGGTGAGACACTCATCTCAGACACACAATTTTAGGGCATGCCAGAAAACGCAGCAATCAAGGAAATACTAATTTAATGTAATGGTTTTAAAGTCAAAAAAGTAGTGCAAAAATCAATAAGAAGTAAAATATAAAAAGATTTTTAACTAAAAAGAGATCATTTGTTTATGTTACAATTGGCATTCTGGTGCAAAGGAAAGAATCAGTCCATCTCATGTTAGTGTCTGAGGGGAAAATGTGAAATCAGCCTGCTCCCTGGATGCCATTAGGCAGGGTTCGAAGCACCAGCAATGGTGTTTGAACAGACTGGAGAACATGGGTCTTCATGTAGAGTCATGTCTGTTGATGGCAGGTCTTACACAATCCTTTTCTACTGGGTTTAAAATATGGGAGGATACTTTGATAAATGGATATGGGACACACAGTTTTCCTTTTGCTGCCTGCCGCAACGTGTCTTGACAAGGCCGTGCTTAAGGGGTTAATTCTCGATTCAAGGACATTGAGAGTTTCCATTTAGGTCTGAGCAACAAGAAGAAGGATGAGAAAACTAATTTCCCTCTAATGGGAAAGAAAGAGTTCAGTGGCATATCATCTTCAATAATGTCAGTCTCAGGGTAAAGCGATGGCTTCTTAGCTCAGCAGTGGCAGCTTGGCCAGTCGGGTTCACCATTCTAGAAGGTCCAGGAAGACAATGAGTGGTTAAGGTGGGACATGTCAGGCATCATGGATGTGAGATATGAAATAAGTTTTAAAACATGCTAATTTGACTCAGGAAATTGATTCCAGTCCAACATTTCATGTCTGTAGATTTAAAATCCTCGTTTCTGCTAGTGGTGTGTTTATTCCTTATGGAGTTCCCTTGTAGGCATTTTTTTCTATTTTAACATAAATGATTTTGACAGAAGTGCTTGCATAAGGTTTTTTTAAAATTCTCTGAACACCTCCCCACTCCCCATCCACTATTCAATTTTGTATATAATCAAAGTAATTACAACTGTCATTATTAGTGTCACTTTAATGAGCAAAATAATTTTCTGGGGGTGATATTTAATAATGCACATTTCCAGCCTCCACTCCTGGCTATTAATTCAGTAGGCCTAGGATAAAGACCAATCATTTGCATTTTTAACAGGCACGCTGATGATTGTAATATAGATGGTGGCCCACAGGTCAAGCTCCCTGGAGTGCAGACTCTGCCTCGAAGACTCAAAGATTTGCTTGCACAAAATTTGTTGGGAAATGCTCTCAGGATCAGTCCCTGTGGTGAAGGGCTGAGTGAGCAGAGAAAGATGCACCATGGCCTCAGTCATCCTATGAGGGACACTCTGTAACTGTGATGACTCTTCAGAGATGCTGGAATTGGTATAGAGGCTGGGGCGTCCATCCCCAGCCCCCAACAGGCAGTGGTTGCATACAGACTGCCACGGGGAAGGAGGCTGGACTCTGGACAAGGCTGGACGGCTCTTCTCCTGAGAGCCAGGATACTGAGAGGGGGCTAGACAGAGCCTAACATCCAAGCTGTGCCATCACATTGCCCAGCCAGCAGTCAGCTGGGGCCACGTGGCAAGTGGCAGCCAACAGACTGCGGTCAGAAGTGGTGCGGTCACGTCTAAGCTAGATAGTATAAGAGCAGACACATGACCCTTCAGCTATCTCCTCTGACCCCCAAACACGGGGGCTACATATTCCAGATGGTGCTGTTACAATGAGGTGCGGTCCCCATGATCTACGGTTCCCGAGGGCCCATGTACAACCGATCCCCTGAGCCAACCTGCGATGGAAATGTAACGTGAACTAGAAAACCTAAGTGGTTTCCAGCGACTGGGATTTCAACTCAGTCTTGCGCTACAGCATCATCTAGACTAACCTTACTAAAATATCAGCCACATTTCAATTATACAGTAAATTGCACTGGGTCAGTATCATCCACTGATATTTACAATTAGACCGAAACTACACCTGAAGACTCTTACCAAGTTCAGAGCTGTACAAATAATATCTTGGGAAAGCAGATAACAATTCCCAGATGGCAAAGGGGGGTTTGTCACCTGTCTTATCTGATTGGATCCCACTTTAATTGTGTGCGCCCTTCTGCCATCTACCATGAAAAAGATAACGCATTCCCTTCTCTTATATTCAAGGCACGGTAAAACGAAACCATACCATTGTATTTACCAAACGGGTAAATACAGTTTAAAAAAAAAATAGAATTTTCTGTGGTGCCAAAAGGGAAGGCAACTTGCCAGCGCTCCATTTATTTGCTTAGAGAATTTTCTTTAGAAAATTTGTAACGGTAAATTCTTTTCTCTGTCCTTCACAGATGCATAGAACCCTTTCAAAAAGCTAAATAAGCCTCTTGTCTGTTTTATAACCCAGGAACGCTTTTTTTCCCCCCCCCTGAAGGGCCTGGGAGCCATCTCTTTGAAATGTGGACATCAAGGAAGACACAGCCCCATTGGGCCTGCCTCTGTGGGGGTTTAACCAAAGCACCTGGCTCCAAGTCTTAACAACCAACTTGCCGTGGAGATAGGAAACATTTTATTTTTCCTTTTTGAATAAAGGCAACTAGGTAACAGAGGAGGCCACCTGATGGCCAGGTGAGCCTAGGACAGACTCTGTGTACCCAGTGATGCTGTCCATTCATCATACTTGAGGGTAACATCCTTTATCTTGGGAACATGTATGTAATGGGTTCTACCTGTCTAGCTATGTAAAAGGGTGACATTTCTGTCTTCACAAACTCTTTATCATATTTCCTGTGGTGTGTATCACAGTCTGCTTTAATGGTTATTCAACAATAAAACTGTTTAATTGGTTTCTACCTTTGTGGAGAGGTTTCACTGGGTTGGCTGATTTTTTTTTTATTTCCCCCCAAAACCTGTACTATTAATTTCTATAGGACCAGAATATGGCTGCTGACAAATTATTCAAAAATGAATTCATCATCACTTTGTACTTCCTCCAAACTTTAGCTGGCATAGCCCTATAAATCAAGTGACCACACTGGCTCACGCAGGGCTGGACAGTGCACCTGGGTTGCCCTGAGAGATTTCTCAGACTATCGGAATGGCTTCAATCTAAATAGTCAATGAGTGCTTCAATGAGATGATTTCTATGGTTATGACAGATAATATCAACCTACATCACATTTTTTCAGATGACATATGTTGTATTTAGATTTCAGAGGACAGAAATGTAAGACTTTGACCATCGGTCTGTGCTAGGATTAGTGCAGTCCCAGAGTTATGCCTGAGGGAAAACTCTTAGGATCCTCTGTGGGAACTTGCCTCACTTCTTTGTGAAGGTAAGGTGGCCCTCTATTCAGGCTTCAGTTTTCAAAATTATGTAGAAGCTTAACTGTCAGTCTGTTCTGACCATTTTCTATTTACCGCATTGGCGAAGGAATGAATCCTGAACCCTGCATAACATGAGATAGGCAAACATACAACATTTCCAAACAGATGGATGAGATTGCAATGGCTTATTAGTCACATACCCTCGGCCCAGGTAAGGGGTTTGTACCTGCCATCCACATGGGGTTGCACCCAGGAGCAGGATGAAAAACAGACTCTAGGGAGGCAGGCTTTGTAGTAACAAGAAGATGAGGTGACTTTGGTTCTCTCTGGAGGATACAATTGGTTGGTTTAAATAATTTTGTGGGCAAGAAGGGAAGTGAAACCAATTTGGTTGAGGATCAGGTCGGATAACCGAGTCAGGAGACTTTACTGTTGAGTAGGGAGCAGATGAGGAGATTCAGGGCTAAGTCTTTGGGCTTCTGTGAGGCTCAAAGATGTAAAGGCAGCCCTTAAAATGTTAGATTTTACAATACACAGTCCTAAATAGAAAGTTTAGATTGGTCCTTGATAAGAAATTAAGTTATCTGATTGTCTGGTACCTCAAAGAACGTAAATGAAATCATGGTTACGACACATACTACTAACCAGAATTTTTAAAAAATGTTCTGTTGCTTATCTTATCATATACATTAGTTAAAGAAGTAAAATAACTAGAGACACGTACCTTGATGTACGTATATACGTATCTATGTACATACATACACAATGAATACATTTTTAAACACCCTGGGGAGCATAGTAACATGATGGTAGTGCCATTTTAATTCTATTTGGGGATTAACACAAATTGTGAGTACCTGATTCTTGGTTAAAGATTTTTGAAAACTTAGCTGGGTCAATCAAATCCTGATTTATCTCTGAGTATTTGCCAAGTTTCAGTATTATTGCAAAATGATTACAGTGAAAATATAACAAAGAAGGCTAATTAGAAAGATTAATATGGGACAAGCACGTTTCAAATTTAACTGGCTTTAAAGCCATTCACATATTCATTATTATATATAAAACAGATTATATTCAAAAGATCACTGTTTTGGTTTTGATGGCATTTTTAAGTGTAATAATTACTAAAAAATCATTATGTTATGCCAACAGAGACTTTTGTTTAAATATAATACAAAATCTATTATAACATGTATGAATTTTGAAAAATAAATGTGTAGTAATAGTGCAACTTTTATTGGTAATTTAAACTTAATGAAAATGTAGTACGTTTTTTGCATTAAAAATTTTGGCAACTTTTTAGAGTGAGAGGTAAGTAAATACATGTTGGTTTCATGAAACAAAATTTCACTAAAAAATATGATAACAAATTAAATCATTTACCTTTTTGATAGAGACTTTCTTCTCTGTACCAGTCAGTAGTCATGGGAACACGTGTCCTACAATACACAAAGTACAAATTGAGTTAACCAAGCAGACTCCTATTTAGAAAACAATATGTCTAATTTATAGGAAAACCTTAAGCTCAGTTAGAGGAAGAATTAAATTTGTTTTTTCTGACAATTAAAAAGAAACCTACTTGGGTGATTTAAGGAAAAAAAAATGGAAGAGTGAATATGAAACCACAAAAGGAGATTATGCTACATAAAGTGAGTAAAACTCTTGGTCATAGCAGCCAAATTCCAGCGTGATGATGTATTCATTTCGGCAAGTCCTAACATCGTTTTTACATATGTTAGGTTTACAGTCTCCCTGCTTGTGTTTTTAAGAGCTAGAAAAGGATTTGGAATTGAAACAAACTGAATTTAAAAATCCAGTGTAATTTGTATTTTATAAAAGCAGTTAAAAGCTTAAACAAAATGTAAGAAAATATATTCATATGAATAATGATAAAATATCAATCATTACAGAAGGTCAGAGATTTATGAATTTAATAGAAATAAGAATGAGGGGACAAAATCAAATTGAATATGGATAATGCAGTGATATGGTCTGGGTTAAATAGTAGTCCTTCTCTGATTGAGCTCATTTTACTTCATATACATCCTAGTTTGTGAGAAGCCTGTGGGTGATAATGAAGAAAGACCAATTCATGAGGTCTCATCAACATGAGCAGTACATGGGTGACAAAAGATTCAGGCAGGGTGTTTCCAAGTCTCTCTGATGTGATTCTGGGAGTACGTTCACTGAGAACCAAAAAGAACATTGCATTAGAATAGGAAGAGAAAAATATATTCAATTTTGTAGAGAGAACTTTTGAAAGTTATCACATATGTAATCAATCTTTTTAAAAAATATATATGATCTAACAACAAAGCAGAAACTGTTCAGAAGTCCAATTCATTATAGCATAAAATTTCTTCAAACTCAGTAACAGTATCAGCATCTGATTATTTTCAGAAATCACAATATAGGATTCCGACACACATGTTTAATGGCACATTTCCCCCCAGGATCCTCTGTCATTTGAAATCGAGTAAGGGAATTGCTATTATCAATGGCAACTCACCTTTTTATATGAGAAAACACTTATCACCATAGCTGATTTGTTACAATACTAGGCTTTGCAAAGACATGATGTTTTAAAATGCAGTTTACCGTGAGAGTACCAATTGCAAATCCAGCTCTTATCTGATGGTTTTATTTAGCCAGATCTTCTAGATTGTATGCACACACACACACACACACACACACACACACACACACATATGAAACCTCCTGTATGTATAGAAGTATGTGATTCCATATCTATCCATATAGAGATATATAATAAGCATACATATTCCTAATGATTTTATATTATATATAGACTTCATATTTCTATGTATGTATTCCAAGTGATGACATATAATCCAAATATCATATATCTGTATATAACCCGAATGATCTTAGTGTAACCTCAGCTGGAAAGAATCTGTGGGCTCTTAAATTCCCCCACTGTTCTCACTTGGTAAATAAGCTCAAGACCCCAGGGAGTGTTTCTTAGACAACACCTTCATCTGAGACGCATACAGCCTAATTGGAGCTTGTTTTTACCAGATAATAAGCTGGTAGGTTATTTTTCTCTTCCAGGCTGTCCTTTTTTTGAAATCAAAGGGTATCTCTTTCATTTTCATGTCCCACGTGACTAGCAAAGTACTAGGTACTACACATGAAAGGAATGCAAATGTTAATTGATAGAAAGAAGGGAAGGAGAGAGGGAGGAAAAGATGGAAGCTGGATAGAAAGCTTTAGGTGGCCTTCTTTTATTGCCCAAGGTCCAGGAGACACAAATGTGCACTGGTGCCTGGACTGGGATGAAACTGAACCTTGAGAAAGAGCAACAGCACTCTGGGAAGTTTCCGAAAATTCTAGAATTTAGCTCAGTCTCTCGTGACACAGGGGAAGAAGAAAGAAAACATAATACCAGGGCCAATAAGCTCCCTCATTGATTAAAAAAGAACCTAAGCTCACCAGGAAACAAGGACCTGCCAGGATCCGGCCCTGCTCTGCAATCCGCACCTTCCCATTCCACGTACACGTTGTCCGGGTCCCCAACTCCCTTTATTCATATTTCTCTCACCACTGGCGCTGTGGGTTTGGAGAACTGGTTGTGCAAATGTGTATAACACCAACTCCACCAATGTGTATAACACAAATTCTCACCAAGTTGTCTAGCTCCATGTGAGGGAAAAAGTCCTCTCTGAATGTGTTAACACCTGCCTTGCTCAAAAGTAATCACTTATCTTCCTATTAACAAACAAAAACACACAGAAACGACCTGCAAGTTCCAAACCAAGGTGGTGATAAAGGTTAGTGTATGTAGCATGTGCATAAGAGAAAAATTTGATCAAGCCATGATAAACTCAGGAACATCAGACCTCATGGTCATGAGAGCCACCAGTGTGGGGTGGCCGCCTGTCAGGAGGGATTTCAGTCACCCTGCAGTGTGGTCTGGTGCTTCATCCAAGCAGCTATGGCAGCAAAGGGGTGAGGTAAAAACTCTGAGGTCCTTGTTTGATGTGATTTTCTTCCAGGACCAATGATCAGAGAACCTAGTAGAGAAATTGTGGAAGAGTGGACTTCCATGTTTTGCCTTTTGTGTAAAAGGTGATGCAAATTTGTTTTCTTTGCCACTAATTAAACCATCTGATATGCTGTGACTAGTGTAGTTACAAGGAGGTGGGTTCACCCTCTTGATTAATTCAGTTTCTCATTCAATATTGACTGATTATACGCACAAGAAATTTTGCTGGGGATTCTAAGGGATACATAAATAAAGCAAATATATGAATTGCATTTTCATCAAGCTCTCAGGATATACTATATAGACATAAGGAACTATAATACATTTATGAAAAATGTATACAGAAAGAGATATCATTTATAACACCAACTAGATCTATGCACTATAACGAGTCAGGATTAAAGCACAAGGGAATTCAAAGGAGTCTGCAGTTTCCAGCTGGGAAATGCAAATTCAAGTTCATGTTAAATATGACATTTGAGTTAGAGGGAAGCAAGTGTTTACATTACAGCTTAATAATAATAATAAAAGAAATCCCAGAAAAAAAGAACAGCAGGAGAATAAGCACACAGACAAAAAAATTGCACTTTCAATAAAAAAATAACGTGTAGTTCTTTATGACTAGTGTCTACAATATAATGGCAAAGATTGAGAAAACCACTTAAATGGGTTGTTGGGTTCAGAGAATGCAAGAAGGACTAATATATATGGACAGCATTCTGTAGGTAATGGGGAGACATTAAATATTGTTGAACGAGGAAGTGGTATAATAAGTGCTGGTCTTCAGGAAATTAACCCGGCAGCCAGCTCTGGGAAGGACGACTCAGAGCAGGGCAAGATGAGAGGTAGAAAAAATGGAGGGAGGCCCCTGCAGCCTCCCAGAGTTTCTGGAAGGAAGGAGAGATGTTACTAGGAGAACAGAGATGCTTTGGATGCAGAAGAAATGAGATCTTACACGTGAACGGAGGTGGGACTAAAAGGGAAAATAGTCAAAATGATGACTCACAAATGACTCAACTGCTCCCCCAAAATATTTTATGTTTTTTTTTTAGAAGCCACAGAACCTGTCAAAAGAAGTGTGATGTTCCTGGGAGAGAAAAGAGGTGTATTATGCCCCTGAGAACTTTGACATAAGGATCCTATCTAACACAAGGGTCATATATGATTTTTTTGAAATTAATTCTCGCTTTTGAACAAGGAATGAAGAGACCTGCTTGCAACGTTTCTATCCTTTGGCTTTGTGACATGAGCAATGAGAAAACATCATTGTGCATACATTTCCCCAAGATTGGAGGCAGTGGTATGGGAAGAGAAAGTTTGAAGTCCCGTCTTTATGTAGAAATCCTAGACCTGAGAAATTTACCAAAAGGACTCCTGGACAAAGATACAACCCAGTTTTATTAGTTTTGTTTTCCATACTTGGGTCTGTCAATTCAGCTGTTTAACAACAATGGGTGAAGACCCAGTCTAGGTAATGGTGAGAGTTAACCTCTGCAAAGCATGTGAGAATATCGTGCTCCCTTTTCTATCCACATTTTTTTTTCTCCCATGTATTGCTGTCGAACTGCCCCCCCCCACACACACACACACATACTATGTGCTCTCAGGCCATCCTGTGACCACCCAGGTCCCCTCCCCACAGGTCTCCCCTAGGAACTGCATTCCCTGATGACCTGGAGTTTCCCTAAGGACAGGTCTCCATCATGTGTCCCTGGCTCCTTCAGACATCGGGGGCCTGGCGTTCTGCCCGATGAGAGCTAGTTATGAGGAAAGCCCATCAATTCTAACTCCTTACAATTAAAAACAAATGAGAGAGAGAAAGTAAGAAGATATCCTAAAATGTTGAGATTAGTTATTGCTGGGGTGAGGAAAGAGAGTGTGGAGTGTGTGTGTGTGTAACATAATAAACTAGCTTAAACATTTACAAGAGCAGTTTAGAGCACATGAAGGGGATGAAGGCCGTATCGATACGACGCAGCAGTCAAGTTCACAGAGTCTACAGCCTGGGAACCCTGTTCTGGTCCTTACTGTGAAGCATGGCAAGTTATTTAAACTAAATAGCCCTGTTTATTTATCTACAAAACAGATAAGATGATAGTACTAATTCACACTTTAATTTAGGAGGAGGATTCAACTAGGTAACACTCATTTTTCTGTAGAAGACATGGGCTGGCCCCTCTTAAGCCCTCAGCACTTAGCTTTATCATGGCGGACTGTGTTCATGTCCCTTTTTCTGTCCCTCCATCCTCCTTCCTTTCTTCATCTCATGATGAAGGACTGGTTTTGAGTCTAAGCTCTCACAAATTCTCCCCTGTCCCTAATGTTGGTGTGATAGTAGGGACTGTCCCAGTCTTGTGGTAAAACTTTCCACCATCCAATGCAGCAAAGATAATTAGCCCCTAAGGGATTTCTTTTCCACAAGTAAATTATTTG